TTTTGTTTATAACTTAAATATAGGCTTTATAATCATTGTTGTAAAGTATAAATTACAAATACTAAGATTATATTATAAATAGTTCATTGACTTTGTGCATTTACTTGCGGATTCTTAGTGCTGATTTTGAAATTGACGATGATAATTTCTGCTAAGCATTTCAAAGATGCCAATTGCCAACAGATGCCGATCAAAATGCTTAATTAAAATACTGTAATTCATTTTGTTATTTGTGGGTAGGCTGTCTGTAACAACTATATAATACCTTAGAGACATCTAACACCTCAGTCTCTCCCGTGACCATGATTGCTGTAAAGCATTCGAAACGTCGGGAAACAAAAATGCAAATAAATCCGCGACAAAATCCGAAAAGATAGTTTTATTTAAAATACCTGTCATATAACAATTAGTCAACGCTATTATGATGATTTTAAATATTCTAAGCGTATGTTTTTAATTTTGGTACAAAATATTTAATGTGTAATGTAAGATTAGGTCAAATAACTATTGTATTGTTGGACCAAGTTCAAAAATCACTTAATTCGAGTATATATTTTTAGTGCTTGCTTCACGATGTATCCGTCCACCAGGAACCATTTTTTATCATACTTTTACAAATGAATAAGTTTAAAACTCGTATCAAGAAAAAAATATATGGTTAATTTATGGTCAAGGGATATTTGTTTTTGAGTTTTTTGTCTCATTTTCTCTATATTTATTAATGATTTTTTATTATAATTGACATTAACATAAGTAATACCTAGCAAGAAGTTAAAAGCTTTATTCTATCTAACACCCACACAACAGTGAAATGCAAAATGCTTAAGCGTTTTACATCTTTATCTTTTACTTGTAAGGAATATGAATTGCTTATTTTATGTACAAGTACCTGGGCTATCGAGCTTCGCTAGGAGTTTTTGGCCTACAGTACATTTTTTTTTAAACTAAAAACTTGAATAAAAAAAAACAAAAGTAAAAACTTTGTATGCGACCGAGATTCGAACCTGGACACCTGTGGTTATCAAACTTGCGCTTAGGCAGCTTGACCACGATACTTATGTCCTAACGCGCGAATTAGGGACCATATTTTGCGTGAAATAATGCGAAATAAAACCGCACGAAAACTCGAAAACACGCATTTTCCCAGGCATAAAACTAATCTAGATCGATTTATCGCCCCCAAAACCTCTGTGTACTAAATTTCATGAAAATCGTTGGAGCCGTTTCCGAGATTCAGATTATATATATACAAGAGTTGCTCGTTTAAATATATTAATTAGATACCATTTATTTTATAACATTCATATTACCTGCACCAACGTAAGTTCTCTGCGTGTAGCTTAAATTCGCAAACAGCAGTGTTTTGTCTCAATTTAACATTCTACATTTTATACTTTTGTTTTCTTTGCACAAAGTCAAATGAAAGATTTTGCTAAAGGATTTAAATCCTAGAGAAGATATGATAAAGAATATTGAGCCGTAAAGTTTGTTTAAATTACTAACAGTTCACCGCTGCTTCGCTCGGGTTCGCCTCTGGGAAAACAAAAACAAATCTCTCAAACAGGAACCGTACAGTTTTCCGGGATAAAAAGTAGCCTATGTTTTATTCTGATGTATGAGCTATGTCATTGTAAAGTTTCATTAAAATCTATTCAGTAGTTTTTGCGTGAAAGAGTAACAAACATCCATACATCTATACATCCATACATCCTGACAAATTTTTCGCATTTATAATATTCGTAGGATTACAAAGTATTAGTTGTTTTACTCTTTGTATTTTAATACTTTCACAGAAATTTTAATTGCATTTGCCGTATATATTGAAGCATGTGTAACATATTAAGATAATACAACTTTGTTTCATTGAGAGAGAAGGGCCCGAAATGGGCCACAGTCTGTTAGACGCACTAATTATGGGCATTAAGGTCAGTGAAGGGGTCTCGAATACGAGACACGTTGAAAAATATTAGTCAATAGAATATTTTTTAGTAATTCTTTGTGTAATTGTAGTTGTCTATGGTTTCGATATCCATTATCCAAAGTTGTAAGAATTGTAAAACATTCAATTGTGCCCAAATTTTTATATTTACATTTAAGTAGTTGTTGTCCGAGGCTCCGCTCGTGTTGTTCAAATCTTTACAACATTAAGACCTTGTATCAAAAAAACTAACTTAAAAACTGTTGCATTTATAATATTAGTGTCGTATAAGAACACCATTTTTGTAACATATATATGAGTAGCAGTACCTACAAAACTGTAAACTACAAAAAAATCTCTAGTAATTCTGATCATAAATATTTTTTGGATTGTATTATAACGTGTTTTCCCGTGGGAATTAGATAATTTCCCGCGGTAAAAACTGTTCTATGTCACTCTCCAGCCCTCCAACTGTCTACACACGAAAAATAACGCCAATCCTTCACTCCGTTTCGACGTGAAATAGAAACAAACAAACACACTTTCACATTTATAATATTACTATGGATATGGATATGTGCCTTTTATACAACCCGCTTTATGTGAGAAAGTAGTACTTAAGTGTATACCTCCCTTAATTAACTGGTCTTAGTGATAACTAACGACTTTGCTAATGAGTGTTACGAGTAAAATGCAGTTTGATAAGAAGCTTAACATTCTTCAAGCACTATTCAGTTTCTTTACCGAAATGTAAAAGAAACAATGTTATTATTTTTGAAATGAATTTTAAGGAAAAAACTTAAATAATAAAATAAATGTTTCGACGAAGTTCATTTAAGGTCAATATGAAAATATAACTTAAATATTAATACAACATTTGAATATAAATATCGTGTACGCGTTAATCAAGTAATCGTAATAGCGTAGTGGGTATAACCCTGACTCACATTCCCTGACTGGAGGTCGTGGGTTCCATTCCCAGACCTATGTTTGCATTGACATTCTATGAATATTGATATATTAGTCTAGTTTGGACAAAGTATGGCGTGAGGCACCTGCACTCAAAACCAAATATCTTAACATCTCCAGGTAAAATTCTAAGAAATTAATTAAAATTCTAAGAAATCTATTGTTAACTGACACGCCGGCGTGTCCACGGTCGTGGAGGAATTAATATTGGCGTACAGTCAAATATTAAATCAAATTGCAAGTCTAACTGCAAGGAAATAGGCGTTAAGTTCAGAGATATAAACAGTTAACCGTCATCTTTACTGATAAACTCTTTATGTATATCTACGTTTGTATGAAACATAACTATAGAACTTTCACGAGTCATTTTGAATGACAGAACAATAATAACGGAGCTTACACACCAATAACTAGGACACCGAATGCTAGGCATTGTCCAAACTATTTTATAAATGAACTTTTATTTTTCCTCGATCATATCATACACGTTAGGTACATGGAAATTATTTGTTGTCATGCTTTATTTGTTTGTGTTTATATATTAGGATCTTTTTACTTAAATTTGTATTTCTTATTTAAATTTAAATTTAGTAGTGTTTCTTTATTATATCACAGTTGAATTGATCAGATGGTATAGAGCTTGTACTCTAAGGAGATGCTAAAAAATTGTGCCATTTTAGGAAAATACGTTTGTAAACATTTTAGAAGATAGTTTGTATTCAGCCCTTTTTAAAGTCCCACTGCTGGGCACGGACCTCCCTTCAATGTCAGGGGGGTCAGGGGGGTCAGGCCATAGCCCACCACGCTGGCCAAATGCGGGTTGGCGGAAGATAGTTAATTATTTTGATATTATTATAGCGCTCTTCATCTTAAGCTCTTATCTGGAAAGATCTATAAATCTACAAGTAGAATACTTGACGCCGCCCCATTTCGGAGTACACGCAATACGTACCTATTGCACTATGCGTTATAGGTAACTTGCGACTGCGACAAAATTTGTACGATCAATACAGCACGACTTAACCCTTTATGGGACTCGAACCCCGCCATCGAATAAGTTGTGTAGGTACCTAAAATTGTTCTACAATAGACTTTTATTATACATTCTTTTCTACAGAACATTTTACAATTTCTTTCAATTTAACTATATCGAATAAACAAAGCTATAAAGTTAATTAATCATTTAAAAAGCCATAGCAATATATCGTCAGCAGTTCGTGCCTCAGTGGGAATGATAATACTAGAATTATGTGTTATGATACCCAGCTTGTTTACTTTATAGGTCAATATGATAGACATTAGACACTATTTTTTCACCTTTTCGATATAATATTTTAGCCTCAAGGAAACCAATTTTTTGAATTAAATTCATGTTAATTTATTCTTCTTCATTATTTGAAAAAACATATATTTATGCTACCGTTTTAGTCTTTGATCTAAATTGTTTTAAATTTTTTGACTTTATTGATGTTCTTTTTTTTTTATAGCAATTAAACCTATAAATCCTACCTATAGATTATATTATTTTCTAAATGTGATATGCATATATAAAAATAATTACACCTCAGTCTTGATAAAGATAGAGTTCACACGTTCAAATAAATTTAAATAGTTCCCTATATATATGCTAGAGAATGCCAACAGTTTTATTGCAATTACATTAAGTACTGTAGGAATGCATTATCAGGTGATATGAGTGTATTTGATAAATGGTTGATTAACTATAGTAATACTTCGGGCTCTGTAAATTTGTAGATAAGTTTCATAATAGCTACAAGGTATGTATATTATAAAGTTATGCAAAACTTATATTTTTCGGTTATTTAAATATTAAAAAAAACTGAATAGTAAAGAAATGAGTTACATAAAATATGATATTAGAATAAGTAAAAAAAGTTACTCTACTAAAGTGTTTCAATGTCAGTACATCATTGAAAGGGTCATTAAGTCACTGGGGTACCGTGAAAAAGTTACTCGTTACTGAGCTTTATAGAAAAGCGTCCAGTTCCAGTCGTCTGGGCGACGTCTCGTCGCACGTGGGTTCCGCGCATGCTTGCTTTAACTTAGCTCTGGCAGTATCGAGCGATCCTTCGTAAGTGGAGGTCATGCCGCGATGTCGGACGGCCGCGACTCCCCGTCGCACAGCGGTCTACGCGATCGCGTCAGCTTTTTCGAGAGAGTATGGTCCGGACTCACCAAGAGAGATTCAGTGGATGCAACCACAGATGTAGATGAAATAGAACGTAAGATTGAACAGAGTAAACGGAGGCCAGAGTCACCCAAAATCGAAGTTAAGTTAAAACACACTCGAGACACTCAGTCTCCATCAAAAAGCTACGAATCCACATTCCCTAATTTGAAATTGAGACATGTTGAACCTGAGGAAGAAAGGGTCGAGCGCCAGGTCGAAGAGGGCGACCTGGCTGCCGGCGTTCGCTTCGTCAAGTTCGAGCGTGTGACCGTGAAGAGGACTGTGACTGAAGTTCAAGATGAGCGTCCGGATTCTCCACAGAGCGAGTGGTACTCTGAATACAAGCACCACACACTGCACACAGCACCGAGAAAGGATTATGTACGCAGTAAATCAGAATATGACTCTCATATCGCAGAAATACGAGGTAAATAATATAGTAAACGAGTTGTTTAAAGGTCATGTTGATGTCATCTCTTACAGTTTAAATTTTTAATTTAAATGAAACCAAAGATTAATCATAGCTTTGTTTTTTAAATATTATAAGAAATCGTATTTGTTGAAAAATATATGTTAATAGTACTAAGTATTATGATGAATAATTATAACTGAGTGCTATTTTATATGCGCACTTTTCTGTCTTAAACGATTGGAAGGATTTAGATGGTACAAAAAGAGCGTATGAGGAGTACCTAGGACGCACCCAAGCGAATCGAGGGTGAGTTACTAGTAAAGAATAATTTTATTGTATGGCATACCTGTCCTTCTAGAATATGAACGTTTGTTAGCTTTAGTTTTTGTGTTTTATTAGCCATTGCTTGGTTAGCAATTTCATAATTCCAAATAAAAAGACAATCGAAAGTATTCAAATTTCATACATAAAAACGACATAGAATAAATTTATACAGATCTAACATGTTATTAAGCGTTATTTAAATTTTTATCGGTTTGGGGTAAGTTTTAATTTTTTTGTTATTGGTGTTAATATTACCATTTAGCTTATGAGTGTAACTGATTTAAATTACGATTACAAATATTTTTTTTATTTGAAAAAGTAATCCTGATAAAGCGTCTTTTGTTGACGGATTTAATTCCTTATCTCTCCAATGACCATAGCAATATGTACAAAATTTCCTTGTTACGACATAATGCCTAGAATATCAGTATCTTATCTGAGGCAAGCTCGGTTCGATACAATTATTAAATATTTGTTAGAACGCACCTAAAAATAACAAAATTTGTTTACTAAACATATCTTACCTATTTGTTTGAAAATAATAAAATATTTATTTATTTTACAGATGAAAATTAAGGTCCTATGTTATTAAAACTATATTTAAATTAAACCAATAACTTGGTCGTTTGCGATCGATTACGATTTACAACGATTTTATGTATCGTTGTAAATCGTAATCGATCTTTTTGCTTAAAAATGAAAATATAATGATGTTCTTGTGTGTATTAATGTGAATATTAATTTTTCTTCACCATATTACATAAATGGAACGTACATAAAAACGTTGGTACATATATACCTGTATGTATTCAGCCCTTTTAACGTCCCACTGCTGGGCACGGGCCTCCCTTCAGTACGAGGGGGATCAGACCATAGTCCATATATACCTGTAATAATAATAATTGCGAATTAAAAGTAAATAGCGATTGTAAATAACGTGACTAGTGCTATTTAAATGATGCTTCATCAAAGGAAATTATTATAGAAATATTTAAATTGTACAACTACATCGATAGTATATAAATGCATATACGAGTATTTTTATCTTAGAGCCGTTTCTAAGAAATCTTGAAATAATCATTCCATGAACAAGCTAATTATTTGTATAATACTTATATATTGCGAATGCATTAAACCCATCAAAAATATTATTCATATTATATTTGTTTAAGTTCGAGTATCATCCTATCAACCCTCGTTTGTCATAAGCACAGAAAAAATCGAGGGACTCTACTATGGTTGTGAATATTTAAAATATTTTAACTTTTAACCAATAATAAAAAAAAATTAATGCACTTTTTTCAAATATTTTTTTTTGTATTTATATTAAATATTTTGTATATTATTTACTTTAAGTTATTTTTAAAATATAATAATTCTGATGTCATTTTGGATCCTCACTAATTTTATCACTCATAACATAAATCAACCTTTTTCTAAAATAAAATCATTTATGGCTTAATTGGTTGGTATGTACTATGGTAGTTAACTATATATAAGGTAAAGTCTCTAAGATAAGTAATCTATGTTCAGTGACGATAGGATAATTAGTACACATGATGTCATCGGCGCTCATCCATTTTAATTTATGTTTATTAATTTTATTTTATTTTACTCACTTGATAAGTTTTTTTTAATGAAAAAGTATCAAAATATTTTTAAACGTACATTTTGACATACCTACTATATTTTTATAAAGATAATAGCTATAATTGTTTAGGAAAATTTAGTTACAGTATATAATTTTTATTTCGTACATTTAGTATGTAACGAATATGATTAGTACGCAAAAAATGCTTTATAAAGCGTGCAAAACCTTGAAAATAAATCTTAAGTAGTAAATATGGTACAAAAGGGTTTGGCTATTTAAGTGTCTAACAACTGAGCTAAATCCGCGAAAAAATCCGAAAAGATAGCTTTTATTTAAAATGTCAATTATTCGCGTAAATCTAAGAAAGTATTGTGAGCTAAATTCGTAAAAGAAAACTGCATTACAAGTAAGGGGTTGAAAGTCTGACAGCACAGTGTTCTGTGACAGTATAATTGCCCATGATGTCATCACTTACAAGTGTCTTTCCACGTTTATTTATGCGTCTGCTCCGCTGAATTTTGCCTCAACGAGACATGGCCGCAGTATAAAATAAATAGAAGGACAATCGTTACGAAATATATGTTAGTTTTGATTTGATTACGCTTTTAATATGCTTTGACACACCCAGAAAGTATTTAATGTTATTGCTTATTGCAATAGTACATGGTTATATATTTTGAAATGTTACGTTGTTTTTGATATACTAGCTTTTTTTTTAATTTCTTATTTTCATATATATTTTTTTATAAAGTTATGCTTAAAAATACTAAGACTTGGTGGACTTACTCAAAAAAAATTTTTTTGACAAATTGAGAACCTCTTCCTTTTTGGAAGTTGGTTAAAAGTAATTATTTAGTCATTTCTGTAAATAAAAGGTTAACTTAAACCAGTTCACAAAACGAGAGAATCAATAAAGGTATCGCGTAACTTATGTTCCTAGAATTAGCTATAGGTGAGCTACTTTATATATATATATATATATATATATATATATATATATATATATATATATATATATATATATATATATATATATATATATATATATATATATATATATATATATATATATATATTATATAAACCTCGAAAGATTGTCTAAATCGTAATATATAAAATCTGATGTGTATCGGTGTGATGTGAAATTTACTGTTCTTTGTAAGTTTATTCTTAAATTAATCCATATACGAGTATGTATGTATATAAAAATCGATGTGTGTATGTATGTTCCCTATGGTTTCCAAACGGCTGGAGCTATTTTGTTGAACTTTTAGGCAATCTTCAGATTAGCTCAGCGGGTGATCGTATAAGGTTTGTTAGCGAAGCCATGGGTACTGCTAGTAAGTTATAAAATAGTTTTTTTTTCTAATCTAACATAAAAATTTCGCATTTAGAACGCGTTAACTACCTAAATAAAAAAGTTAACTTAATAATATTATATATTTTTTTTGATAGAGTAAGTATGATGTAAAAGTAAATTTGTTATAAAGCTAAAAAAAAAAGAATGAAAATAATTCAAATACAAACTTAATCTCCATTCGTTCCTACGCTGGTGGTCACACACTGATGCGTGAACATGGACTCATTTGAATAATGGTATGGAAACCTCTAAATGTAAATTGTTATTATGTTTGATATAGTCAGTGATTTGTATGGTGCATGGCAGTTTTTAAAAGTTATTGATCTATAAAGATAAATAAAATTGAAGTGTCTGTTTGTAATAACAAAATAACAACTTTTTACTAAATGCATATGAAAGTATATACAGTACATATAAGAAAAACACAACTTCTAAAATTTTTGTTTGTCTGTCTGTTTGTCTGTTTGTTTGTTCCGGCTAATCTCGGAAATGGCTGTACTAATTTTGATGAGACTTTTACTGGCAGATAGCTCATGTAATAAGGAGTAACTTAGGCTACTTTTATTTTAGAAAAAGAATTATAATTCCGTTAAAAAAATATAAAACGTATAGGAACTAGAATATAAAACATATCAATTTTTTCATTTATAATTTGTTATTTTATATTCAATTTTAATAACATGCTATTTACAAAGTAATCAAACGACAACCACACAAATCAAATGACAAATCTAATGGCATTCACAAAATATCATACTAAAAATCGCCAAAAGTACCTTGTGCCTTTTTAGCCAAGGCTGTTTGACTTCTACGATGCACGTTGAATAATATGAGACAAGTAACACTGTAATTTAATCTGCTGCATCAACTAGAGTTGTTTTCTGTCTTTTTCCTTGCTTGAGTTAGATGGTATGGTCTACACTCTACGTAAAAAAAATGAAATAATTTGATTGATGTGTCGTATTAAGAGTAAGATTGGAAAGAAAATCTAAAATTTTATATATTATTTTTTTGCGATTAGTTTGTTTATTCGCGCGTCACTCGGAATCTCGAGGAGATTTGTATCATTTTTTACCTATGTAAGGCAGAGTTAAGTCAAGGTTATGTGTACTAAATAATAGTGGCTTGCCTTGTTCTTCTCAGCTCATTTATTATTTACAAGCAGGCGAAAATGAAAATCTATACTTTTACGAAATTCATAAGAAATTTTACTTATGATTGTTTAACATCAATAAACACGATTTCATTCATCTGACGAGATTAATTTCATCCGAGATTCAAGTTCATCCGATAATGGTACAAATCGGTTTGTAGCGTTTTGTATGAGAGATTTGCCATTCAAAGTCATTGATTACTATTGGGAAAATAACATTCTAACGCTCTATGTGTTAAATTTAATGCTAGTTTTTGTTAAGTGTTTTCTTTGTAATAGGAAATATACTTGCGTCTTACAATGTACTAGCATTGCCCACGGCTCCGTCCGCGTTCAGATGGCCAAAAACCAAATTCTTAGGTTTTACATATTAGTATACTCTTACATTGCAGTTTTTGTATTTTTCTCAGTAATGGGATATTTTCCCGCGGTAAAAAGTATCCTATATGTTGACCCGGATAACCAGCTATCACCATACTAAATTTCATTAAAATCCCTCCAGTGGTTTTTCTGTGATGTGGTAACAGACAGACAGACAAAAATTCTAAAAACTATAGATTCGGCCTCTGTATCGATAATAATGTTTATTTCC